GAAGAACGAAAACGGTTTCTACTACCCTAGAACATTAACATAATGATCTTTCTTAACTGTTTCTCCATTAAAGTTTATTGCTTCACCTTTGTCTTTTTTTATTTTGAAATCTTTGATTAGCTCCTTCGTCTTTTTCACATCTAGATAAGGACGATGCTCTTCACACTGTGTAAAGCGATTTATTATTACTTTTTTGTAATTGTGGAGATATTGCGATGATGCCATGAGAGCTTGTTTGGGTGTGTCTTCAACCTGTTTATCCATTGACCTTTTTTCAATGTGTATAAAATGAACAGAACATAAACAACAACTGAACTTTGTGAGGCCAAATAGTTTGTGGCAATGACTGAAAGTTAAGATCTGTTTACATACATAATTTTATGCCTTTATTTTCTAATTTCTAAAGAGCACCTACGGGCAATATATAATTTGAGAATCTGCAGAGGCAGTTCGTTTACTTTACTTCTTATTTTGAAAATTTCAGAAATAGTTTGTACATAGATATATATATATTGTTTCTGGAAGCATACACTTTAACACATACTATCAATTTTATCATTCATTCTTTCGTAGAAAACTCAGTACACTTCTTTTCTTATCATACAAAATATTTTTAAAATCTTGAATATAATAATAATACAATCAACAAAAGTTACAATAGTATCATTCTCAGTAAAAATCAAAACAGAAATAAAAATGCCCGGCGCATAGAGCTGTTCAGTGAATTCACGTGTCTTCAATTGTCTCTAGAGTGGAGTTCACATCATATAACATGTATGAGAATGTCATCCCGTGGGTGGTCTGTCACTACACTTATGGGCCTCCATGAGATCTGGCCTCAAAATTTGAACAGATTACCGAGGAAATTGCCCACGTCCGAGATAAATCCCCAGAATCCTCTCTTCTTCCTCTTTTTCTGCTCTTGTCTGAGTTGGTCCAGACTCTGGTTGTATTGTTTTTTGGCCGCCTGGAGCGCCTTCTCGCTGGCTTCTTTGTCTTTGCGCTCAACCAAGGCTCTCTCCTGGCTCGCGACGCTCTCTTGTATGTTGACCACAACTTGTCTCAGGCTGTCCAGCACGCTGGTACCCTTGTCCTGGACAGAAATTTCTACCTCCAAAGCACGGGCGTCCTCTCTCAACAAGTCCAATCTTTCTTTGGTCGCTGCGTCTAGCTCTGTCGCTTCTTTAACACTGTTAACACCGTCAATGAGAAGGTCAATTTTGGCCTGAATTGTTTCTCTGAGTTGGGGTGCGTTCTCTCGAACTATTAACTGCTCTCTGTCCTTGGCAACTTTAGCAAACATTTCATTTGTATACCGTTTGCCCTTGCTCTTCAGCCCATCCACCAAAGAATATAGTTCTTCCAGCTGCGAGTCGGCTTTCGTTTCATCAATATTGTAGAACAATACAGCCTTATAGGCACATTCTTCAAACACAGTTTTCAGTGCTCCAGTTTGCTCTTGACACCACTGAGAAAACGGTTTTGGGTTTCGTCGATTGTTCATATCAAACAACTCTCCATGCGTGAAGATGAGGATGCAGTAATCTCTCACAAAATTCTCTCCAAACAAGGACTTGAGCATAGAGACAGTGGAGAGTTCTTCTTCCGTGAACCTGTTTCCATACTTGAGCACAAGTATCAGGGCATGAAAGCCTTGCGGGCACTGCAGGATACCCTGAGCCATGTCGTCACACATCTTCTTGGCGGCGCTCCCTTTGTCTAACCGGGTCTCGCAAACACCAGGTCCATCCACCACCTTGACTTGCCGGCCACATCTGCGAGCCCAGCCCACCTGCACCACGTAGGTTTCCGAGTCGGAGCTATCCGACACACAGAACGCCTCTCGGCCCAGGATGGAGTTGCCCGTGGAGCTTTTCCCATGGCCGGTCTTCCCCAGCAAAAAAAGGTCAACTTCGTTGCCATTGCACGGATCACTGGCCATTCTGGAGAACTGGATGAGAACGAAGAAGGGTACGTTCTCAAATTTGCAATCATGTACACAGTATCCAAAATAAGTCTAATACATGTATACAGGGTGTCGAAAGTAAAGAGGACTCACTTAAGGGGGGGCGGGCGGCGGGAGGGGGTGCTGAAAGTCCCGATTCGGGTCAAAATCATGGATTTTGAGTTGTAGGCATTTTCAGCTTCTTCAGCCTCTCTTACAACTATTTTATCGCATAAGAACCACCTCAAGCCTTATTTTTTCACATACGTGGCATGTTAGTCACCACCATTTTCTCATAAAGTCAATCTTTTATTTTTTTGTTATTGCCCGCTTTCTCAAAACGCGGTTTTTTTATATATACTTCTTAGAATAACTCCACCATTTTCCATCCAATTTTCATTAAATTTACATTTTCACAGAATGAAGAGAAGATGTAAAACTACAAATTTGTCAAGTGAATATTTTAGGAAAAGATTTTCGGTGGTGGTGTCTGAAGAGTGGATGTTCACGGAGTTTTTGCAAACTTGAATACTACCACAGAAAACAAAAATCATTTAAAAAATATCAAACTCTTTCAACAAAAATTCAACATACAAATTTGTACAGCTGTTATCTACTAACATGCAGGCAAAAAATAACCTAATTCCATGAAAAATAAGTGCGGTATTCATTACGTAAGACATGTCAATAAAATCCAATAAGGCCGCTGTCTCCATGGCAGTGAAACTTTTTTTCTCAAATTTGATTGCGGATTTTAAGACTCCTTACAATACTTGTTATACGTGTGAAATTTGATCCACTAATAAGCGAGATAGCTTTCGGGTGCAGCCCCCCCCCCCCACCCCCCCACCACCCAAACCCTTAACGACTATAGAGCAATAATTCGGTCATCTCCACAATAATTTCAACAAATCTTCGAACAAATAAAATTATATCAGGGGTACATCATCAAGTCTGTAAGTGTGAAGAAAATCAATCATCGAACAGGAGAAATTTCAAGGTTTGAAAATTACAACTAAAATTGGGTAAAATGTAGTTTTACTTCTTTAAAAAGCACTTGGCTACTGGGGTGTGCGTGATCGGTACTTCTTGCTTCAAGACAAGGACGGTAAAACTACGAGTCACATCAGATGGATGTGCTAGGAAAGTTTGCAGAGTAGAAAGTGCTATGTGGTAGCGGACAGGATCCAGTGGTATGGGGCCATACACCATGCGTCAAAAGAGGCCCGTGTGTGTTTATAAGAAAGGTTTAAATCTAGGGAATGCCTTTCAAGTCGAAGGTTCACAAGTGAATGGTCACCACATTCCCCCTCAATTATTTCCTCTGGAGATTTTAGACGAACGGAGTCTGCGAAACAACCCATGAGCAATCAAACAGTTGAAACTCAATGTTGAACATGACGTCCAGAGAATCAACATAGGAACATGCCATGTGGTTATTCAAAATTTCCAGTGGCGTATTGCAGTTTGTAAGGAGAAAAATGGTCAACTCCTGGAGATTTAAAACGCCACCACCTTCCAGAATTTATTTGACAATATCAGTTTTATATAAATTTGATCTTAATGCGCAAATTATAGTGACTAAATCAATTTGAAATAGTACAATATGTGAGGCAGCGTTGTCGAATCAGGCTCTCGTCAATTTTTGGGCCTGTAGATTATTGGTATCACCTTAAAGCTTATTCACTTGTCTTTATTTGGATGAAAAAATATCCATTTATCTTGAATCACAGAGAATTCTGTGTCTTGAATACAAGTCGAGATATTTGCGAATGAAGGAGGTGGGGGTCACCTGCTTTCAGAGTTAAAATTAGTGAGAAAATGGCCGCCAGAGATTAGTTATTTCCATAGCTAAGGAGTCCGTTGTAACTGAAAATTTTCATTTTTGTGCCTTTAATCAACGCTTTTCAGAAAAATCCACACAGAAATGAGTTCTTTAATGGGTATGAAAGGTGGTGGGCCAAAAAACATAAAACTGATAAAAATTGACAAACTTGCAGAAAAATGCGCATTTCTTCACGTTGATTATTTTGACGAGAGCCTGATTCTACCACGCTGCCTCACATATGGTTGACCTTTAGTTTTGCGTTTCACTCAATTTTGGTTGAAATTTTACAAATTTGATTTTTTTTCAACATGTTGGTTGATTTTTTTTCATATAGACAAACGTAACATCCCCTGGTTGAAAATTATTTTTTCGAAGCTTTGTTGAAATCGGTCAAAATATGACAGGGTTATTTTATTGCATTTTAAATTTAAATGGGTCCTCTTTTTTGTCAGAGCATTTCGCTATAGGCGTATGGAGCATTCAGATGCTTTCCCAAATGTGAAAAAACCACCTTTTTTTATTAGTGTAAACACGTTTTAAAAAGTCTCTTGATTTTTACAATTTATATATAAGTTATCATGAATTATTGATACAAATTTAAATGTGAGAGCTGATTTTTAAGATTGTACTTAGGTCATTAAATGCCTTAAGACCGGAGTTTTCAAATTTTGTTCCATACGCGGATAGCGAACTGCAATGACGATATACAATGAACAGCACATCTGTCTGTCTGTCTGCCTGTCTGCCTGTCTTCCTGCCTGCCTGCATGCAAGCACGTATGTATGTATGTACCTATGTATGCACAGTACGTACGTACATATGTACGTAACGTACGTACGTGTGTGTATGTGTGAGTCTATGCACATATGTATCATGCATGTATGTATGTGTGTGTGTATGTACATATGTATCATGTGTGTGTGTGTGTGTGTGTGTGTGTGTGTATGTACATATGTATCATGTGTGTGTGTGTGTGTGTGTGTGTGTGTGTGTATGTACATATGTATCATGTGTGTGTGTGTGTGTGTG